CGTGTGAATTAGTGAAATAATGGGAGAATATTCCTAGAACTTCGGCCAGCGCGTGCTATAAATTTCGTCACTCGTCTGTACTGCGATTGGTCCAAAGCTCCTTGAAGCCTTGTACCCTTTCAGTAAAGTTAAATGGACTCACCCGCCCACCAACTGAGGACCACAGAATGGCTTTCTCCAATAAGTTGTTGATGGCTGTCCATACCAGTTTTTTTTAGTCAATACTGTTCGCTCAAGTTGTAGACAGATCCAGTGATCATAGAATAGGCGTTCAGGTTGGGATTGTTCTAATTTTGGTAAATATTTTCAGAATCCCCCCCCCTTTTTTTTTTTCTCGAGCACCTTCATCCTCACTTTCGCCTCTTAAAGAACTTGCAGCTTCACGCTTTCGTCACAAGCTGCCTAAATTTATGGATAACACCTGTTTCAAAAGATTGGGTAAATAGCCAATCAGACACCGATACTTTCGTTCTAGGGTAGCTAATTGTTTTTTTATCGTTTGCAACACAAATCCGCCAACAGATTGGTCAAGAGCCATGTAATTTTAATTCCATATTCATGAGAAATCGCAATTCACACTTAGAATGGCAATCATTAGAAATGATAAGAAATGTCAAATGAGCAAAATTAAGAACCGTTTATTCATTTTGGCCCAAATTAAAGACTTTTAAGGACCAAAAATCATTTTTGAAAAAATTAAAGACTTTTAAGGACCGTACGAACCCTGGTTTAAGTGCAAAATAAAAAAAGTTCCGTTCATAAAAACGAAGTAGTTTTCAATTTACTGTGATTTTCTTGAATAACCATATTTCCGCGTGATTCATGAAAAAACGCCTGCTGCACACGTAAGTTTGTGGCATGCCAAGTGTTAAATTATATATTTTTTGCTGCACTTCATTTAAAATTATTCCCTCGAATTTCCTTAGTGATACATTCTCATTCAATCAATTCAGCTATCACTTCGCAGCAAGCCAAAAATACATAAAAACTCAACACACCTACATTAAAAATTGTGAAATACAGAAAAACCTAAAACATCAAATACAGTAAAAAATGTTTTACAAAAATTCCAAAAAGTCAGTCGGCTAACACGCAGGAAGAACAAATTTTTAGTGCACAAAACTGAAAGTTTTGGTCCCACTAAACAAAAAGACACTGAAGTTCAAGCACCCCCTGGCTTAATTCACTATTCTACTAACAGTTTAGAATGTAAACAAATGGCAGCCTTGTTAGGCCTAACGTCACTTAAATTTTTGCACCATTGATAATTCTAAACTATTACATGCAGAATAATTAAAGGCATAAAAACCTTGACTAGAACACAAGAACAACATAATTCAGGTACTTTTGAAACAAAAAATGTATAATTTACCAGCACACAAGAATAAAAATACTGAGCTCAATGAGCCAGCTGACAGAGTGGGCGTATGTGTTTTATATATATATGTATGCTTGGTGCGGCTGAATTCAATGGAAAAGAGAGGTTGCACAGCTACATGTTATAGCCAGTCCTATATACAACCTTCTATGGCTAGTTGTTTTTCAGTTATGTGAGATACAGACAGACACATACATATATATAGATTTCATAATGTCTGTATGAAAAATCTCTTTTGACAATCTATAATGGAAAAAAAAAAAAAAAAAAGAGTCCTTTATTCTATCTACACATACAGATGTCAGGCAAAACATCATTCATAAGGATCTGAGAGTGATCAAAATCGATATTTTCATTGAAATGTTTCCTGAAACTTTTCGTGATTACAATACTTCCTTTACTTCATACAAGCAAGTAAAAACCAAATGGTTTGGAATAAAAATTTCTGGCAACAGAAATTATTTGAAATGAAAAATATCATCTGCTACCATATTACGAAATCATGAACTGATAATATTAGAGAGCATGAAGAAACAGTATTCGAGTGATGTAGATGTTTTTATATTTTTAGAATGGCATAACTTAACTATGAAAAAAGATGTAATGGTCAATTATGTTTGCACATAATTTTTTTTAATTCCATGAAAAAAGCAAAGTTCCTTGTTAGAATAGAAACTAATGAATTGGTTAAGATCTACTCAGCAGCCTGACTGAACTTAAGTACAAAGTAAATTCAATATAATTTTTTTTTTTTTTCATTTTGTATTTTCGCATAAACTACTTTTAAATTTATTCTCTTTACAAAATGCCACATGTAAACAAGCTGTGGACTGAAGGATATATTTTCTCACTTTCCAAAGAGAAGCATTCTAATTCCATACTTCAAAAACAATGAAATGCATGGTATAAAACTAAGTGCAAAATAAACAACATTATTAACTGAAAATTATCATCAATATTATAAATCATCAATCATTACTGCTACATGGGAAGCAGATTTCAAACGAACACCCGAAAAAAATGTATGTCATGTTTCTAAAGTTAAATTCTTAGTAACAATAGAAAATCCTCTGATGTGGAAATCAATTACAAAGTCTTTAAATACATGTGTAGTAACAAGAAATAAATAACAAATCAAAATCTCTGTAGCAGGAGATAAATGGAAATATATTGCGACCTTTGGCTTTAATCTAAATGAGTCCAACCAAAAAAAAAAAAATAGTCTAATTATTATTGAAAATTCAGGGAAGAAAATCTAGTATAAACTAGTCAATGTAAAGAATGTTTCAGCAAGGGATTTATTATTGCAGAATTCTCTTACAATGGGAAATTAAAAATAGGAAGAGTGGGAAAAAACATTAAAATCAACTCAACATACTTTCAACAAAAAATTTTATAGCTGGTATTTACAGAAGAAACTCCATTTATTTGTCTCGATGGCCTTTCAAAAAGTAAAACTTCAACAAGACAAAGCAACAAATTATGTACCACTGCATTCCTTGAAAAAATGAGGAATGATACAGGTATTGCATATATACCTTTTCAAAATATTCTTGCTAAGTCCTCTGATATTTCACCTATGGACTATTGCGTATTTGGTCTCTTGAAAAAAGCTCTTTCTAATCATACACCCAACATGACTGATGGACTCTGAAAAGCAGCAGAAGAGGAATGAAAAATCAATATTCCTGGAAATTTTATGAAAAGCCCTTCTAAACATGTTGGAAATCATGTTCTAGAAAAAAGGCTATCAGATTAAACATTTAGGAAAATACTCTGTACATTTTAAACATTCATTAAGTGGCTCCAAAATCACTCTAAAAACACGAAGTAACTACCCTCTGTACAGTTACATTTACAGAGATTCCTGCTACAGAGATTTTGATTTATTATTTATTTCTTGTTACTACACATGTATTGAAAGACTTTGTAATTGATTTCCACATCAGAGAATTTTAATATACTGTTACCATTAATTACCAAACACCTGCAGGAAGTAATTAACTGGAATTAATATGGTATCTGTATGACAGCCTGCCATTTGCTACTTTCATAGCTTTGAGGAAACTGTGCACTAAAATGTTTGTAAGAATTTTCTTCCATTTATCCTATGATATATCGAGTTTGCAATATATCAAACAATTCTGTGATAGACTAAAAATGCAAAATAATCCTGTGACAGCTCTCAACCATTTCATTAACACATCCCAAAGATGTTTGATTTACCTAAGAAGGAGATTTTGGGCTGTCTAGCTTAATTCCTTCATTCCTTCAAATTACTCATCTATGCTCTATGAATAGGTCAATATTGTTGTATTGAATATAATAAAACTGGGTTACAAACTGATGGCACAGGATGGGTATCACTGAAGTCCTTCATGTATATAAGCCATGATATAAGCATTGGCATCTTATAAGCACTGGGATTCAAGGCATAAAAAACAGTGGACCAAAACAACGACAAAAATCAAGAAAAAAGCACACTATAATTCTTCCTCTTCCTAAATTTCATAAAAGAGAAAAAGCACTTTTAAGTAATTTTTGTCTGACATTTGCTTGGTCAGCTGGAATGCTGCAATGTATAACAATATCCATCACTTCATACGGTGCTCTTTAACTGCTCTGTGATCCAAAGAAACATTTTTGTTCTGTAATCAACTGTATGCATTCAGTTTAGTGATCACTAGATTATATGCTACAGTTTATCTGAGGAATCCAAATATAAATAAATGCCTCTTGATGAATGATACATTTATTAGCATAAGTTCCAGATGTAGTTAAAAGTCTGCAGCCAGATTTCTAATGAAATTTCCCATTTTGACTTCATTATATATGAGGCACTGATGGGCCTTATCTGCCAAATTTTTTTGAGGGGGGTCTGCTCAAAGTTGCAATTTTATAACTCCCTCACATTTTCATTTCACCATTACATCATTTACTACTCCATCTAGTATTTGAAATTTTCCAGAAATGTCATAAATAAAATCACTAAATAAGTGGGAATGAAAATCATGATTTTTTCACCCTCAGTTGCAAATTATTTTATCATAGTTTCCTTTTAAGAAATGTCTAATCATTAATAGCAGTACAATATAAAGTCAGCATAAAAATTATAATTTGAAACAAATGAATTGACATATATATGATATAAAAACAAAGCAAAACTTAAGCATTAGTGTAAATGCTTCAAAACAGAGAACGAAAACTGATTTAATGTAGCCATAAATAAGTAATTATAATTCCTATTTTCAATTAGAGTTAACTAATACAAGGAAGTGTTGTATGTATCATATATCTAACATGTATCTAGTATTGTAACTATCATGCTTGTCTATTTTGAATTACATATATTCGTTTTTGAGTAATAAATTCCTTTTTTGATCGAATGGAATGGGATTTCTTTTTTGATGGATGTTATGGAAAAATCAGCATAGTTTTAATTTAGAAAACTATTTATAGCAAAATCAGTTTTTGAAAAAAAAGTTCATATATCATAAATTTAAAGCTTATAGTAACATTCAGAAAGATAAAACATAGGAAACTTGACCATTATTGTCTTTTTATAGGACAAAGAAACAACATATAAAAAATTTGCTAATTTAGGAAAGTTTAAGTAACAAACCTTTAGCCAGCCCATGTAGAAGAAAAATTGTAGAAAGTTAAAAATAGGTATATAAAGATCAACATCATAGCCCGGATGTCCTTGTTCTGGATCTAAATATTGCCTTCCCATCAGTGTAGCTAAGAAGAAAGTATAAACTACTAGCGTAACAACCTGAAATAATAATAATTTATGATTATTAAATAAAACTAGACTTTTCCTTTTAGACTAAAAGCACAAATTTTATTTTGAATATTTATGTACAAGTATTGTGCAAAAGTATTAAGGCACGACAAAAAATCAAGAAAAAAGCACAATATAATCTTACTTCTCATAAATTTCATAAAAGAGAAAAAGCACTTTTAAGTAATTTTTGTTGACATTTGCTTGGTCAGCTGGAAGCTGCAAAGTGAACAATTCAACTCATACTGCCATAAACTCTGAACAAAGAAACTTTTGTTTTCGTAATCAACGGAATGCATTCTGGTGATCACTAATCTTGCCTACAGTTATTAACAATATAATAAATGCTTGAAGAATGATTACATTTTTGCATAAGTTAGATTTTAAAAGTCTCCCGTTTCTATGAAATTCCCATTGATCATTATATTGAGGCACTTGGCCTTAATCAAAACTTTTGACTTTCAAGTTGCAATTTATAACTCCCTCACATTTTTCATTTCACAATTAAAAAACCCTCTTTTGAAAACAGAAATCATAAATAAATCACTAAAGAAAAATAAATAACTTTTCCACTCAGTTGCCTATTTTATAAGTTTCTTTCAGAAATGTCTAATCTTAATAGCCTACAATATAAAGTCCATAAAAATTCTTTTGACATGAAGACAATAGAAAAAAAACAGCAACTTAACTTTTAAATGCTCAAAAAAGAAAAGAACAATATTTAATTATCCATAATAATCTTAAATTCTATTTTCAATTAGGTTCTAATGAGGAAGGTTGTAGTTCATAATATAACAGTTTCTAAACAATAGTTGTTATTTAATACATCTTTTTTTGAGTAAGAAATTATTTGACGAATGAATTTTCTTTTTTGATGGATGTTTCGGCAAATCGATATTTATTAGCCCCCGCACCCAAATCCCCCAAAAAAAATAATATCATAAATTTCAGCCTTATAGTCTTACAAGATAAAACATTTAACTTCCAACCTCCCTTTTATGGGGACAAAAGACAACATATTTCTTTTGCTAATTTAGCCCTTCTAACCCTTAGGCCGCCATGTGCTTTTCTTCCTTGCGAAAGTTTCCCTTAGGTATATAAAGATCTCATTATAGCCCTCCCGTGTTCTCGATAAATATTGCCTCCCATCCTGTACTGAAGAAAGTATAAACTCTAGCCGTAACACCTGGAAATAATAATAATTTATGATTATTAAATTAAAACTGAATTCTTTTAATAAGCACAATTTTTTTGAATACTGATGTACAAGTTTGTGCAAAAGTATTAAGCATTTCCCCTTTTTGTTAAAACCTTATAATAACACTAGTAAGATTTCCAGTACTCAGAAATAAACAGCCTCATATGTAATTACGAAAGACAAAGTTAAAAGAAAATTAATTTTTCTGGAAGATGAATATCAAGGACACTTTATCTCAGGACGCCGCCCAAGCTGAAAAACTAATTACACAGGCAAAGCGTCGATGTAAAATATCTGCCATCTCCCTATTATCTGCAAGAATCTTGTTCTTTTGAATTTCTCTATTTGAAATTAGTATTAACAATTTTCTCTAAATTAAGCAAAGAAAGACATAAGAGAATTTTCAGTGAAATCCTAATTCAATGTTTATTTCTTAGTTTCTTCTTTTCTTGGCTTTAGTTTTCGACCTTGGGAAACAGAACGAAATCAGGAACTATCTCAACCCTCTCTCGATGCGAAAGAGTTAAGGCAAGAGTTTTTCTGTTAATCAGTGATATCTCGACTAAAATTTTCTTCATCTGCAAGTTTCAAGATCTGCCTTATTTTTGCCCCAAACTGTCAATATTAAAATACAGACAAGTAAAATACAACCATTTAATCTTTGTGTCTAGTTTAGGCAGAATGTTTAATAAATTTCAATAAAAAAAAAATAAGAAATATAATTTATACAAATGATTTCTCTAAGTGTAATTCTTGCAGTCTAAACAATAACAAGTAAGACTATGTCATTTAAATCAGTTTAATTTTTTATCTTGTCGCGTCAATTCGCCCCAAACGCCCAGCTTCCTCCTCGGCTGTACCCCAACGCTGACTAATTTCCCTACCCCAGTGCTTCCCCCATCCTTCTGCATCTCATGCTTTCCTGGTTTGGCCATGTCCTCCTCTTTAAACGCTAATAAAAATCGCTTCCTTGTTTACTTATTCTTCCTTTCCTGGTTAGTGTCAGTGTTTAGCTTTTGATTGCCCCGAAGTTGCAATCCAGTCCCCTCCCATTACACGTGTCAAAGGCGAGAAAGAAAGAAGTTCTCCTTACTTTCTAAGTCAAGCTATTGTTAGCGCCGTAGTATTCACTTGTATGGGGGAAGGAAAGAACCAGGAGAATTCTTAGATTAATTTTCATGTTTCCTTATTTTTCCCCTCTCATGCCAAGAGTAAGGCAAGAGGTTTTTGTTAATATGATTCAGACAAATTTCTTCCTAAAGGGAAGATCTGCCGTATTTTTGCCCCAAACTGAATATTAAATACGACAGTAAAACAACCATTTAATATGTTCTCTTCGCAGGAATGTTTTAATTACTCTGATATTATGATCTTGCAGTCTGATGTGATTGAACAGCAACAATTTACTTATTCTCATTTGCGTGATTTGTATTACAATTAAAAACCAGTCAATGGTAATAGTTAAGGGATATATCAGCATTTTACATTTACAAAATAGAAAATAAAAAAACAATAAAAAAAATATAATATAAAAAAAATGTATTCACATAAATCACCTTTTTCATTTAATAAGCTTCTTAAAAACAAATTAAACGCCAGCTTGAAAACATATTAGAATTACATAAAAAAAAAGTCAAACCACAAAAAAAAACCCCTAACCATAATACAACCACATTATATTATCTTTCCCACACCCCACGCCTACCTCCCTCATCCTAAATCCCCCCCTCACCACTTTGATCATCCCAACATTGATTTTGATATACACTTAAATAATTAAACTATTCATTTTCTAATCCTTTGAACATACTATAGTATATTCATATCATACCATGTTCATATGATATGCTCATTTTTGTGAATGCAGTATTACAACTCCTACTATCATATTTATGACATTAAAATATTTTTCCCCCTCACTTTCAGAAAAATTTCCATTTAAGTTATAAGTATTGAGAAGGCACTCATAGGTGATCAATTTTGCAGGGAAAAACGGGGTATGTATTCTTTTTACCTTTTTATGAATTTTGTATCTGCCATCAGAGGGTTAATAATATTGAGCTGATAATTCAACATTTATGAAATAACAGAATTTGAGTATGCTACTGTTATTGAAATTAAATGACTAAACATATTTTCCTGTATATAACAGTAACCTGGTTACTCCTTGTATAACTACATAGAAGGGGGGACACACACACAACAACAAAGAAAGACTTCTTTAATACATTTAAACAGTAGTGTACATGTAACAAAAAAACACCACGAAATACAATGAAAATGTAAAATTCAATTTTTAGTAATAATATACGCATTTTAAACTACATAAAACTTTTTTCAAATACTTAATATTTGGTAACTTTTTAAAATTAGAATTAAACAAAATATACAGATATTCATTAATATTGCTACACCATGAAAGCAGCATGCAACAAACATCAAAGGCACAATATCCTGAAATACACTAATAATAAGCATACCAACACATGCACACAAAGCAAGTATGAGTAATGGCATCTACACTTTGTACAAATGAGAAGACTGTACAATGGGTTTCCCATTTAGAAATTGCATTTGAATGTTGTTTATTGTTTGTGTAAAGTTTGTGTTATGGCTCCTATAAGAAGGAGAAACTCCTACCAGAAAATGTCAAAAATTGATTGTGGAAGAATCATGGCCTATTGGTACTGCAGTTTATTGTTCTCTAACATTGCTGTTCATGATGATGAGACTGTATGATTGTCAGATGAGTGTGGAATTGATGGATTCAAGAGTGTCCATACTGGATGGCAAGTAGAATCTCGGCAGCATCGGGCCACTTGTGCCTGACAGGACAGACATATTTTCCACTTGGTTGCGCAAGATCTTACAGTAACGTGAGACACCCAGAGTCAAGAACTTGGTTCATGTGCAGGATGAAAAGTGTCTGCACGAACAGTGCAAAGACATTTTCAGCACCACAGACTGTCAGCATGGTTACCATTATTGCAGCTTTCTAGCAAAGACAGGCATGACAAATGAACACACAGGGCATATGAGTGACCTCAAGTGATATTTTCAGATGAATCCCATTTGTGTGTAGAGCATCATGGATGTAGTGTGTGGAGGTGATGAGGAAAACAAACATTGCTGGCTTGCATTCGTTATGGTGCCATTGAGTATACAAAACTAGTAACTTTTTATTTCACACAGCCAGTAACGCAGTCACGCAGTCAGCATTATATTTCTGACATATGACATTGTGCCCTATCTCCAAGGCCTGCATGATGGCATCTTTCCACAAGATAATGTATGATTGCCTATTGCTCGTGCTATCCTGACCTTCCTTGATTAAGACAGTATTCGGCTGCTATCCTGACAAGCTTTTTTCCAGATCTCTCACATATTCAGAACATCTGGTTATGGGCCATCAAGAGACTAGCATGCCACTGCTCACAAATCACTATGATTGATTAACTCTGGTATACAACTGAAACTGCATGGAATTAAGTGCAGATTACAACCATTGTTGGTTCCAGAGGAGGTAGTTTTATGTTATGAATTCTGCATAATGTGCATCTCAAAATACTTGTAAATTTAACGATGCTTTCCCCTCATTATTATATTATTTATGTACAATAAATAAGATTCTGCTATTTGCTTCCTTTCATGGTGCAGCAATTTTAATGATTAACAGTGTGTATGAAACAAAATGAAACATTTGATCAATAACAAAGAATATAGAAACTTGATTCAGTGAAAACGTTACCTGTGTATATACTAGAGGTATACTAATCCAGTCATAATTATATAATCCTCCACAAAGAGAGCGGTAATTTGCTATAGCCTGAAATACGGTATATGATAATAATGAAGAACCTTGAAACAAAAACATAAATGCGAATACTTGCATATCAAACAAATCTCAAAGATCAAATGCTTTAAAAAAAAACTGAAAATTCAGAACTTTGATACATTTTTATATTGAATTTACTTTGCCTTTTCACAGATGCCACACCATTCCCACATTCATTATAAAGATCATCTAATGTTTTTTTTTTTTTTTTTTTTTTTTTTTTTCTCAAATTTTAGCACTTACTTTAAGAATTAATCTGCAGGGAGAAAAAAGTTTTGTATTCAATTTTGTATTGGGCATCTAAAAATGAGTTTTCCAAATTAGGTAATCAGTTGAAATGCTACACAAATGCGCAGAACTAGAAAGTAATACAATACATAAGACACCAGATTAGATGTAAAGAAAATTATATCACCAAATTAGTACTTGGATTGGATTAGATAAGAATGTAATCATTAGTTACAGTTAAACACCAAATATTATCTCCCAAAATTAAATATAGAAGCAATTTTACTTTTTATATGAAAGAATATAATTTCGTTGCTTTTGAGAAGAAAAGATTTCTGAGCTATTTAACTTAACAAGAGTGGAAGCACACTTCATACATCAAAACACCATCTAGACACTTAATGAGGACCTCTCCCCCATTTCGTCTATTGTTATAAAGCTGCTAAAGAAATAAATAATTAAGGAAAAATGAAATAGATATAATTCAGCAATTTTATTCTAAAATATCATTAAATTAGACAATACTTTCTTAAAAGTATGAATTAAATCTATTCTAAATACTGGAAAAAAGTGCTTTAAATTATTTCAAGACAGTGCGAAAATTTACAATAGATTAACATTAACAAAACCATAAACACAGCATAAAATAAGTAAAAACAATAAATTTTGATACATTAGTTACATTTTTTATTTATATCACAAGGAAATCAAACACACTATTTTTTATGCAATTCTAATATCACAAAATACAGTATAGATTTTTATTGGCCCTGTATCAAAACTTCACCTGCTAGAAAAGACAGTTTATATGTTTTACAATGTTCTTTTCAAAATCTACACATTCAAGAAAGTATTTTGGACCTTTCTATTGTATGACAGCACATGCCAAATAATTTTCTACAAAAGGATATATATGCCAACATAATCTAATGACCACAGTTGGATGTGTTTTTCTTATTTCTTATTTCAAGTTCTTGTTTTCAGAGTAGTGTCAATTAAAAGTTTAGAAAGCTGAATTTGTTCATTTCATCCTTTGATTAGCTACGCCATTTTAGCAGAAATAGCTGATATAACTCCATTGAGAATTTGATGGAATTTTTAAATAACAACAAGGTTAGATGTTACAGCTTCTTGAAAGTTAATTGTACAGTAAAGATTCAAAGCCAGTGTAGAATTCAATAAAGTATTTTGGAAGACTCTGATAATGTGTGTGTCCAAATGACACATTGAGGTTGTACTAAGTGTTGTTAAGCAGTAGGTAAAAGCCTTTTGCTGGTGTAAATCGAAATTACTACTCAAATTTCAAATGGCATGCATTACTGTATGAATGTGGAACTCACTGATATGCATTTTATCTGTGGTAATTTGGAATGTGTTTTTCTTATTTCTTATTTCAAGTTCTTGTTTTCAGAGTAGTGTCAATTAAAAGTTTAAAAAGCTGAATTTTTTCATTTCATCCTTCGATTAGCTACACCATTTTAGCTGAATTACCACAGATAAAATGCATATCAGTGAGTTCCACATTCATACAGTAATGCATGCCACTTGAAATTTGAGTAGTAATTTCGATTTACACAAGCAAAAGGCTTTTACCTACTGGTTAACAACACTTAGTACCACCTCAATGTGTCATTTGGACACACACATTGTCAGAGTCTTCCAAACTACTTTATTGAATTCTACACTGGCTTTGAATCTTTACTGTACAATTAACTTCAAGAAGCTGTAACATATAAGCTTGTTGCTAATTAAAAATTCCATCAAATTATCAATGGAGTTATATTAGCTGTTTCTGTTTTTGATTTTTGCATATAAATATTATCCATAATCTAGTGAAGTATCTGTACTAAATGTAAAACTAATAGATGGTTATATAATTCTAGCCATTCATCCGTCAATTTTCAATCATCAATCATGTTATATTGCTCCTCTGTTCCTGCCTTTACATTTTTACATGATATTTTTCAATCACCTTGCATATTTCTTCTAGAAATACATGTTGTGCATCCAACAAAGGAAAAAAATCAAATTTTCTAATGTGTAACATAATTTTAAATAAGCATTTAAAGAACGGAAATTTCAAATTAAAATGCTAAATAACTGCTATGCCTTAAAAATATTATAAGAGAAAAAATATATACCCCCTTTTTCTTGTTCATATTAATTTTAGACATGCCTTTTTTTTTTCAGTTAAAATTCTAAGATATATACATAAACACAGATATACAAAATTATAGCATATATAAAAGAAATGATAATACGGATATTTTAAAAAAAATAAAATGCTATGATTCATCATTCTCATTTTCAAATTAAAACTTTATAGACAGTGAAACTACTAAAAAAATTATTTTGAGAAGCCTTATTCAAACCACTAAGACTGGAAGAAATAATAATGAACATAATAGGAACTATGACATCCACAACAAAATCTACTTTCAAAATCAAAAAAGTATATAACAAAATTTTAAAACAGTATAGGAAAAAAATGTACACACAAAACTTAAAATTTATATGGAAATAAATCATTTGCTGACTTAAAATATTCATGTGTATAGTGGATAACATAATCATAAAACTACTATTTAGAAGAAATAATAATTATACCTCAACTAAAGTGTTTAGAGCAAAGTCATCCCGCACTCTTCCTTCTTTACGAGCTCTAATGGCAATGCTAGATGCCCATACTAAAGGCATCCAATAAGTGGAATGAGAGGTTTTTAATTGTTCTATAATTTTTTTCTCATTTGGCAACAAAATACCTAATAAAGGAAAAACTAATTAAAATTGAACCAATTATATCTCATATATCAATGTATATTACTACTGATACATTTTCTAAACATAAATAGCTAGATCAAGACAAAATGCAATGTTGTAATTTCTGCAAATACTTACATATTTATTAGCAATTTAATTTCTATGTATTTCTGTGTTACTATGTGTTTGGTTTTGTTAGTTTATTTATTCATTTAGGGCACTTTGTGTAGATTGTGAAAATTTTATGTTTGTTTACGGCTTTTTTTTTTTTTTTTTTTTGTCCATTTATTTTTGTTTGACATTGAATTTGTGGCTATTTAATTACGCCTGTATATGTTTAATTGATGTATTACTTTCTAGAGTTTTTAATTTTCAGTTGGTGCTTGAATTGAAAAGATAGTTCGAATAGAACTACAGAAATAGGTTTAAAACAGTCTACTAGATCCTGCCACTTTTTTTTTTTTTTCCCAGTATGATAATATAGAGATTTCTTGCCAACTTGATGACATTCTGGAAGTTCTCAGAAAATATATTTTCAAAGCCTTAAGGGTGAAACTTAAGCTTTCACCTTGAGCAACAATATAAATAACAGATTCAAAGCAGCCAATCTGTTTAGATTGTTATGCAATGGAGTTTATTACTCAGTGCTATAGCTATGTCAAGATATTTATATCAAAACTGGTAAGAAAACAACATGCATATATGCATGAAAGCTTTTATGATGTACATGTAAATTTACATAACATGAAAAATTTCCTTAACTATACAGCATAAAATTGATATAAAAACATTGAATATATATAAATTGAACATAAAAATTAACAGGAAACATTGAATCTTTATTAAATGAATATTTTTAAAGCAAGTTTTCATTCAACATGAAACTACCCAAGTCCCTCCCAAATATCTTAGCTCAGGGGTTCCCAAACCTTTTCAGTATGCAGCCATTTATAGTTTTGTTATTTTTTTCACTGCACCCAGTTGCACTATTTCTACCATGACATTTATCAGGCATAGTAATGAAAACAACATTTTAGTGAAAATATATAATAATTTTAATTGATAAGGAAACATACAAATCAAATACAAGTAAAAAAAACCTTCAATGGCAAAATTGAAAGTCAATGTGATAGGTAAGCCATTTAAATCCCCACACAGTTTTTCAAAACGCAGAAGAAGGATTCATACGGCCAGTCTCATTTCTTGCTCCTTATTGATCTTTGAACGATATTTGGTCTTTATTATAATGACAGCTAAAAATCTAACTTTGGATAGATAAGATGCCACAAAGGCAATGAGGATCTTTAGAGCTATAAAATTTTAAGATGGAACTCAATTTTGATTGAAATCTGAAACTCGATTAAATCTGAGCAAGCAAATTTTGTTTTCAGGCTGTTGTCGCAAAAGAGTTCAAGTAAACTCCTTTCATGTAAAGTCCTGGGAAGCTTGAGAATGAAAAAGATCTTGGATTCAACATAAATTGCTCTAGATTATCTTCCACAACATATTTTAAAAATCAGAGAGCTTTCAAAGCAATCAGAGAGCTTTGAAAGGTGTTCCATGAAAATGGACAGAGATTTCTGTAGAACAACAACTCAGTTAGAAGCTATGTATTGGTATTATGCAGAAAAACAATCTTGAGTACTTGTCTATCAATTTCCTAATCTACAACTGCAGCTTATTCCTAAACACTGAAATCTTTTCTACAAGTTTCAAAATGGCCATACATTGGCTTGTAGATATACAATAGATTCAAGACATTTAGTTTCTCAAATATATCACACTAATATGCTAATTTCAGCGAACAATCTGGTTTGACAAAATACCTAGTGATCGTATGACCTTCTTCTTGAAGGAAAGTGTGAATTTCTTGATACAGCTCAAACATGTGAGATAGGACATTGCTATGCGAAAGTCATCATGAACTGCAATAGACAGCAGGACTGTGTGTTCAGCTTCTATGTTCTCAGATAGCTTTAAAAAAAAACTTTTTTTCAGCTGTCTAGTTTGTATGTAGTTTACTACATCTTGCCTCATGGCACCCCTGACTTTACTTCATGGTCATGGTACACACTTTGAGAACCCCTACTTTAGTATATTGCCAACAAGAGAAAGTTAAGTCTTACACTGATAATATAAAAATAGCTGTAAAATTTAGTAAAAATAAAAATGAAACAGAAAAACACTAAAATACGATATCAAGGAAATAGAGCAAAGAAAGTTATAGTACAAACAAACATCTTTTAAACTGCAGCATAAAAACTTACCTCAATAATAAAAATATTACCTGCTTCAACTAAATGATCCATAGTAGGAAATCGTTTCTTTACACATGGGCTAATGCATGTTAATGTAATTACAAATGCAAGATTCGCATATCTCATTATAGTACGTCGCATCAAACGCCCCCTTTCATCCTGAAATTACATTTCAGATCTTTAGGAATATAATTAAAGCCTCCAAATTGGATAAACAAAGCAAAACACTTTTATAAACATCCAATGTTTTATGTTTAAATCAGCAATTGTAAAACTAGTGCAGAATAAAGTCTGAAATCTGAACATCCAATATCTGAAAAGATTCAAACTTTTTTTTTAAGAAATTTTTTTTATGCCTTCCATTTAAGCATTTGATATTTCTTTTAAATAAAAGATGTGGAGAGTCTTGATTCTTAATTTCACTTTGGCTCTTGCACCAACACAAATCATTTTTTTTAAATTATTTTTTGCTTTTATCATAAATATCAATTAACATACTGCAGCTTGATAATGACTAAACAACGTTTTTATTTTTAATATTCGTAATGGGAAAATCTCTAGAATTTCGGGCCAGCACTGGGATGTAAAATTTAAAGGAGGTAAAATTTTTAGAATTCAGGGATGCATTTGGCAGCAGAACTAATATAATTCAGGCTTAATTTTGTCTGCATGCGACAGAAGCAAAACACATTTTTTAGCTGAACAAAATGCCTTTAAACCCCAATTTCACAACACATTGCCAATTGCGTAATGTGCTGCTAGCTAAGTTATGAGATGAGCCACAAAAGGTTTTTCAGATATCATAAACCAAAAATTTTCAATTAATGGAATTTGTGAAGAAATGTGGAAAAAGTGGTAATAAATGAAGATGATATAACAGATGTTTTTCTTTGTGATGACAATGCCCCAATCATTAATCAACTAACAGATGGCAAAGTCTGCAGTATGGTTCTAAATCCAGAAAATATCACGATTGATAATGAAGAAAGTGACACAGAAGTTTCTGAGAATGAAAAAATTTTGATTCACAATTTAGTGAGAATTCTTGACACAGCAATTATAGGACTTGAACAATGGGGCTTTGTAACTGAACAAGAATTTACATCTATCTATATAACTAAAGAGAAAGTATTAGCACAAAAAATAAAGCAAATTAAACAACTTACATTGAAAGAAATGTTTAATAAAGCAAATAAAAATCGAATTTTTTTTCTTTTAAGGTCATAAATACTTCATTATTTCATAAACCACTATTTCATATTTTTTAAATTTTGTAATTTCTGCATGTCATCTTACTAGATTTGAACTAATGATAAAAAATCTGGAAAAATCCCAAATCTGGAATGACAAGCGATATTTTCTGGATTTTTATGCACTATCAATTAAAAAAAATAAGCTGTATTACTTTAGTGGACCTTAGTGGCCTCAGGCTGCTTAAACGTTGTCCATTTAGTTCTTTCCCATTTTCGAAAGATGGGGTGATCAACGAGATAATATACTGGTAGAGAGCTTATTGCAACCTTCAACCGGTTCCAACATTAGTGTCACGTGACTGCTGCGCGAATTCCGAAAGTCCGGAAATACTTTACATTGCTTTCTATGGGACGAAAGACTGCTGCTCTGCTTGGTCACATAAAATTTAAGTAAAAATGGTTATTCGCTGCAGCGCCTATGGATGTAAAGAAAGTTTCGTGAAAGGAGGACCTGTAACCTTTCATAGGTAAGTTAAAACTGCATGATTTATTATTTTATTTTCAGTATTTCTGTCGTTTTACTATCTCTGTTGAATTGGTTGGAAATTTTCAGCCATATTGTACAAGAAAATTGCCGCTGTATATGACATTTTCAGCATGTATTATTAGCATCAAAATGTATTAAATACTGTGACACTATTTACTGGATTCATCCTTTACAAATAATTGAATTTTATATGTTTTTTCCGTGTATTCCGTTGAAATAGAAAGCTGCGCCAATTGGCGTTAACTTTTTTTCGCCAAGTCGTACGCGTTTTGATTTCATAAACAATTACTGCTTGCGATAAAAAAAGAAAAATGCTGTTATTAGCATTAAATTATTGAGAAAAGATTGTGCGATATGTTTACTTTGTTAAAAAAAAAAAAAAAAAAGCTGAAGATCTTGATTCATGCAACATTGAACATAAACAGTTAAACAGCATTATTTTAAAAATCAGATTACTTTTATAGAGCTCAATGCTGTATCATTATTTTCTATAAAATCAATTAAAATAAAAATAATCTGGATTATAATTCTGTCTCATCTACGATGCTGTTAGAAATTTAATGTAATTGAAAAAATGTGATGTAAAAAACTTAACCATATTTTAAATAGTATTTAAAAAAAAAAGGAGAGTGAGAGAATTTTTAACTGTAATATCGTTTTGATCCTAATAATAAATACTGAGTTGAAGTTTGTTACCGTTTGATACATATTCAATATAAAATATTTGTTATAGTTAATAAGATGTATTCATCCCCCCATGACATACACATGAGTGTGGAAATCAGTAATTAAGATTGCATTATTTTGTTCCAGTAATATAATCTCAAGAAAAGAGAGTGCATTATTATGTTTCAGTAATATAATCTCAAGAAAAGAGAGGTGGTGCTCATTTTAGAAGTTGAACCTGCATGCAGTGAAATATAATTTTGTTAATAGATTTTTATTAAGAAAGAATTGTTGATGACAAAATCAAACTAACTTTTTTCAACATTGCCTTGAGCACAAATTTTTCCCATCATTAACAATCTAATTTGAAAGTGACTCATTTTCTTTTAAATTTCACTTGACCCTCTTTTCTCTAGAAGGCACCTTTTGACCTGTAATTTGATGTATTACAAATTGTGTTTTTGAATGTACGTACTATTGTAAAATAATTTTAAGAGAACTTTAAGGTGGTCCAAAAGGACCCTTTGATTTCCATTCCAATACAGAATCACGAAATAAGAATTCTCATGTAATAAAAGGCTAAAGGGAAAAATGCCATCCCCATATACAGACAATTATATTATTGTTTTGACTCTAATTGTAGGTATATTTACATTTCTTTCCAATGAAAAATTACTACACTTTTAAAATTTCATGATATTTTTCAGCATGTACTTAAAGAATTCTTAAATGATTCTGAAAAATTACCATTCTTCTGCAGTATACCTGTATGACCTGGAATACATATATGTGTGTAATTTAATACTTCATTTGCTACTTTAGTACAATTAAGTTTTTTTTTTTTTTTTTTTTTTTTTTCATTTATAGTTTCCCTAAAGATCCAGAAAGGCAAAAACAATGGGAAGTACAACTGCGGCGGGAAAACTTTAGAGTAACCAAGTATTCAAAGTTATGTTCGAAACATTTTACATCAGACTGCTTCGATAGAACAAAGTTTGGAGGCACCTGGTTAAAGGCCACAGCAATTCCAACGTTATTTAATTTCCCTTCTCACTTACAAAAAAATGTTTACAAGCGAAAGTCGTCAAAAAAGCCACTTCAGCCCAATCCAGAAGAGTCTATGCACTATTCAGAAAGTAAGTGATGCTCTATTTTCAATTTCAGTATCATGTACTTAACATACTTATTTATGTATGTGAGAGAGAGTCGAGGAAGAAATTGTACTTTGATTAAGTCTAACATAACATGCTGTGATGTAGTAATTTTTTTCTTTGAATTCTATTAATTGTATTGGTTTCAATATGTTAAATAGCATTTTTAGAGAGAAAAATAGTTTTGTAAGTAGGTGAATTTTGTTGCATTCTAGACTTATATTCAGTTTAGAATTTCCAGAATGCTTGTAATTTACTTTTAGCCTACTTTTTTATTTATGTTTATGTTTCAGTTTCATTTGTAAATTAAATTTAATGAACTTAGCTTGAAAATTTTATGCAATTGCTAATTAAAGCAACTAAAACACTTGAACTATTACACGATAAAGTAATCTGAGATTATGGGAACTTTTAAAACTAATTTAGTTTATATCTACAACATCTTGCCTGAACTCTAATATTTTGCAAGGTATTGAAAGCTTGTGAAGAAAAACCCATTATTTATTTTTTACTAATTTAAGATGGCAAATTACCCTCAAAATCTCCTTGCTTGCTATAAATATTCATGTTTCATAACTTTTAATTCTGTTTCCTCTCAGAAAGACATTACACAAATAAAATAATCCTTTTCCTCCACACCAAATCAAATTATTAGCCATAAAATTACTGAAATGCGTTATTAAGCTCCATATGAGTATGATTTATAAATAATAATAATTATTATTAATATAACACTTATATTTAATATTTCGTCTTGAAATCTGTTGTAGGTTCAGCAAGTACATCTGTAACTCCTGAAAGAAGAAGGAAACGGCTGCATTACTTGGGAGATTTTAATGATGAGGATGTTACATCTCCAAGTAAAGCAAAAAAAGTTCTTGAAATAGCTCAGCAGCAAAATATCAGCATGAAAAGAAAAATTAAATTGTTAGATAAACAGAACAAAAGACTGAAGAAGCGTGTGGCCTCTTTAGACGAGCTGCTGACTGAGTTAAAAACTCAGAATTTAATATCTGATTCAGCGTCAACAATTTTAGGGGTAAGCTTAACAAATTTTTACAATATCCAGTTTTGTATCTCTCTTACAATTATTTTATCCATCATTTCCCAGAGAAATTGTGCTTTTAACTATAGTTTTGGTTTTTAACTATAACTTAATTTAGGGGTAATTCATAAATGATGTTGCACATTTTCATAAAATTTTTTATCCTCCTTCCCTTGCCAAATGTCAGGCTATTACATAAACATATACTTTCACTTCTGATTTAAAGCTGGGAAATGCTGATCTAAATCATTTAGTAAGAATCAGTAGAATTTTTATTAATCCCAGGAAAGTTGTTTTAGCCCCAATAGAAAGAAATACCCTCAATTTTTGTAATTTCAAAATTTAATCAGCTGATTTTAAATGCTGTTTTTTAACCAAAATGTGTGTGATGTCACACTTTTTATTACTCTTCTTCCCCCTTGTGACAATTGCACAAACCCCCTCCCCCATCAGAGCGTGACATCATTTTTGGATGGCCCCTTATCATGCACCCTAAGATATAATGAATACTTGCTGAGAATTTTCAAAATGTAATAATCAGAAATATATGTCTAATCAAGTAATTCTTTGATTAAGGAAATGACATGCAGGATGCAATGTCACAGGTTGTATTTCCATTAGTGTCATGAAAATATTGCATCTGTAGGTTTTTTTAAATATTTTTGAGGTGACCATTACATAAAAATGTTATAAGTTATTGCTAAAACTCATCTATGTTTTATTATATTATATTTAAAATTTTTATGTTTAATATTATATTAAAATCTTAATTTTTTTGCTCCCTTCCTCTAGTTGTCTGGAGCTGCAGGGGACTTCATAGAAAGACTTGAATGTAGTAATTCAAGAGCTGAATATTCAGAAGACCTCCGAACATTTGCCATGACTTTAAATTTTTATTCGGCAAAAGCATATAATTATGTCAGACAAATGTTCAACGACAGTCTTCCCCATCCTTCTACTTTAAGAAGGTGGTATGGTAAAGTTAGTGGTTCTCCTGGATTTACGAAGGAAGCCCTACAATCATTGAAACTTAAAGCAGAAGAAGCTTTAAAGATAAACAAAACCATTTATGGAGCTCTTATTGTCGATGAAATGGCAATACGACAACATATTGAATGGGATAGAACTCGTTTTACTGGATATGTTGACTTAGGTACTGACATAGATGATGATGAGCTGCCTCATGCAAAAGAGGCTTTAGTTTTCATGGTGAATGCCATTAATGGAAGCTGGAAGGTTCCAGTTTCGTATTTTTTGATAAATGGGTTAAATGCTCTAGAAAGAGCCAATCTTATTAATGAGGCCCTTCATTATCTTCAAGAGACTGGCATTAGAATTATAAGTTTGACATTTGATGGTTGCAGTAGCAATATTGCAACTGCAAATGCATTAGGTGCAAATTTACAAAGCAATAATTTAATCAATTATTTTCCACACCCTGCCACCGGAGACAATGTGTATGTCATAATGGATCCTTGCCATATGTTGAAGCTTGTTAGAAATTGCTTGGCATCAAAAGGATCCATTGTTGATGGTGACAGTGGCTTCATTTTGTGGGAGCATATAATCAATTTAGAAAAATTTCAAAAGGAGCAAGGCCTTCATGCTGCAACAAAGTTACGGGCACGGCACATAGAATGGTATCGTGAAAAAATGAAGGTTAAACTTGCAGCCCAGGTTCTCAGTAATAGTGTTGCTGATGCTCTTTTATATTTAGAAAACGATTTAAAACACCCCCCACATTCATTGGCTGTGCTCCAACCATAAAATTTTTAAAAATATTCAATAGCCTTTTTGACATCTTAAACAGCAAAAACCTATTAAGTAAAGATTTTAAATCTCCAATTAAGCCCCAAAATAAAGATACTATATTAAATTTCTTAAATACAGCACAAGAATACATAAAAAACTTAAGAACAAGTAAAATTGGAGAATACATATTGCATAGCAACAGGAAAACAGGATTTTTAGTTTGCATCAATAGTATTAAATCGTTATATATTGAGCTGTGTGAAATTTCACCTCACCCATTAAACTTTTTCCTGACATACAAATTATCACAGGACCACCTTGAGTTATTTTTCAGTGCCATACGCACAAAAGGTGGTCACAACAACAACCCTACTGCAAAACAATTTAAAGCAGCATATGTTCGCTTACTGATGCACCATCACATAATGACATCAGGTAGTGCAAATTGCATCGTTTTAGACGATACAAATATTTTAAATGTGAGCAGTTCCACTAATATGTACTTGAAGTCAATCAATTTCAACTCCACAGATACCTTTAAAGGTGATTTTAATTTTTCTGAGAATTGTGTTACTGAAGATCATTCTTTTGCATTAACAAGCTGTAAACAATTCTCAGACTTTGTTAGTGATGTTGTTGCATACATTGCTGGTAGTGTTGTTAAAAAATTGAAAAATGCATTAAAATGTGATACTTGTATATATTCTCTGTCTGATGTTGGTTTAACAGTTGATTATACACAAAGTAAATTATTAGGTAGAAAAAATAGGGGAGGATTAATAGTTCCATCTGGTAGTGTTGTGAAGATATGTAGAGCAGTGAAATTAACAATTCTTTTTCAGCTCATTAAATTTTAATTTCAATTTTAACGTATCAATAAGTTCATCTTTTTTTATTTTAGATTTTCTAAAATTTTAAAACATTTAAACATGGGCAAAATTTAAAGGATATACACTGTAAATATTAAGAAAAAGGGTTAAGTTATATCTAAATATAATTGTAAAAAATCGAACAACCTAATTCGAGGTCGTTGTCTGCAGACTGCTAGGAGACGGAAATAAAAAGCACTACTTGCCATATCAAAAGCGGGCCAAACTGGCGATGAACAGTCTAAGCTATCACTCCCCAAGAGCATTAGTCACATGGTATATGTTGGAGACATCCTAGCAGACGAATTCTCTGTGGGTGAGCCGTCTACCTGTTATAAGAAGTCGTTGGGTGAAATGTCAAATTTGACGTCCCTGGGGTTTTAACTACTTATCTCTTTCAAAGGTCTTTGTGTTAAGAATCCGGTTTTTCTCAATTTTTCCCTTTTATTTCTTGTAGCTACATAGCTACAGAATTCCCGATAACTGCATTTGTAAATTGTAAACAGAGTCTTGCATTGCTTTAGAATATTGCATATTTTTGTAAGTTTTTTAAGAATTATTTTGACATTTTTCTAGCAATATGCCGAAAAGGAAAAGAGGTCTAACTGAAGAAGAAATACGAAAACTTCAAGTGCTTGATGACGAAATATATACACATACAATATATCTGTATGTTTAAATACACGTATGCATAAATCCGCATGCAAACACATATATATAAATGCATATGTGTGCCTGTGTGTGTACATGTGTGTGTCTGTATATACGTTATTCCCATTTAAGGGTATGCATGCTTTCCGCTTTATGTGCATATCTGCACATATTATATCAGTGCAGACATACATACTGCATGGATATGTAGGTATACATTTCCATAAAAAAATATAAATTCCCACGTACTTGTATACATGTACAAGTGCCTTTTTCTGACATTCTTATCAGTTCATTCTTAACAGTTCTGTCTGTCTTTATTTCCATATATATCCGTTTATGCTGAAGTGACGTTCAACACATGGAAGTTAACTGTGATGGTACTGTTATTCAGACAAATTACAAGAACGTAAATATAAATTTTGTGTCAAAGAAACAACAGTAGTTTTAAAATTTCAGTTTGAAACCTGGAAATCGTAAATATACTAAAACTAGTCAATCAGTTTGAAAGGTCATCTCTAGCCATTAGATTCCAGATGTACTGATGTACTGTTGTTTTAAAAGGTACCTCCATATCAGTGTCTCGATTTCACAGTC